TACTTTAAATGGGGAAGAGATTCTGATCATAGGTCTTTTAATCTAGTAGAAAGAGGCATAATAAGATCCAATGGTTGGAAGCTTTAGCTAGACAAATTCAGAGTAGAAATAAGGTGTAAATGTTTAATAGTGAGGGTAATTAACCATTGAAGGAACAATTTATCTAGTAACATGGTAGATTTTCTATCATTTGCAGTCAGAAATTCAAGACTGGGTATCTATATAAGAGATATGATGTAACTCAAACAGAAGTGATAATCTTGAGGCAGAAATTACTAGGTGAGGTTCTCTGGCTTGTGTTATTTAGGAGGTCAGACTAGATTATCAGAATGCTCCTTCTGGCCTTGAAATCTATTAATTAAATTTTCTAGACAGTAATTAAACAGTTTTCTGAACACATTGTAACTCTCATTCAAGTTAATTGAAAACCCTTACACCAGAATCCTTTGTGATTATGATTCCATTCAAATAATAAAGTATCACAATCCTTTGTGACTCTTAATTAAATTCATTGAGAAAACTGCAGTGTTTTAATAAATATAAAAGTATATCTCCAAATGTGGGGCCAGGTCAGGGTGCCATGGCATTCTCACACAGGAATTACTGCCTGGTTTATGGATAAATTATAAAAGTTTGATATGCAACTTGATCACTTGACTAATGAGAGCCATAGAATACCTTTGAAACTCATAGTTTGATGCAAAAGTCTATGGGGGAAAAGCTAAAGTCTAAGTTGGACAGACTGCCAGAAACTCTGAAACACAAAGTGATATTGGACAGAGCACTTATGAAAGTTAGATAATTAAGGGCCAAATCAACTCCCATTGAAGTCAATAGAAAGAGTCTCACAGACTGGACTGGGCCAGCACAAGTATCTGCTTAGCGGTTCTCAAACCGCTGGCCGCATGCGGCCCAGTTAGCACACAGCTGCAGCCCAGGCTCCCCTGCCATCTGGCGGGCTCCCGGGGTCGTGGTCCTGACAGGGTCTGGGGTTGGGGTCCTGGTCCTGGCTGCCCCCAGGGCGGGGCTTGGGGTCTGGGCATCTGGCTGCTGCCTGTTCCCCCTGTTGCACACTATGGGTCAGGGTCCGGGCAGCTGGCTGCCCCCCGGCACCTCATGGTGGAGTCCAGGGTCAGGATCCTGGCTGCCCCCTTGCCCTGCACAGCTGGGATCAAGGTCCCCTCATAGCAGGGTCCGGGGTTAGGATCCCTGCCCCCCGCCCAGCTCTCCACTCCTGGCCCACGCTGTGGAGGGATCTCTGAGCGGAAGGTGCTGAGCATACGGGTTTGTGGGGGGAGTTAAGTGGGGAGCATGGTGGTTCTCAACCTGCGGCCCAGCTAATACGTTGCGGGCTACCTATGCATCCCACAATGTTAAATAGGTTGAGAACCACTGGCTTAGGGTGATCACGAGCCTTTTGTGTTCATCCAATATTCTGGTCTGCAAGCAAAAGCCATCACAGAGACAAATGCTTTGCACAATGACCTCTTATAACTAAGCTGCTGGTTTAAGATTTGTTTTAGGATACATTTGACTTTCGTTTGTTCCTCAGGAAATGAATGTTCTGCAGAACAATAGTAGATAAGTGAGGCAGATTCTACTGTTGAAAGCTTTGAGGTGAACAAGTACAACAATCCTGAAATTTAATTTGACTAGGCTGAGGAGTAGGGAAAACCTGATCTAATGAGACTTGATGTCTGTACGAAGACGTGGCAGATCATTCTGATACTGCATAAAATGAAGCATTTTCATTGTGAATGAAAAGTCATTTTATGGGTTTATCTACCAAAATGCTCGCATCCCAGAACTAGTGTTGCTGACTTGTCATATTCCACAGATAAATCTAATGTGTGTCAAACTGTAAAAAACATTGTGTGCAAAACTACAATATTATACACTGTATGTTTATTTGTACAATATAGTCCATACTGGGTGGCTGTGGGCTTTTTGTTCTGTTTTTGTAGTGAGTTAGTCAGCACACTCGACCCACAAGAGGCAGCTGTAGTAACGGATCATGGCCACATACATACATATACATATCACACGGATAAGCAGGGATTGAAATGGGACCTTCTGTGCAGAAAACAAAACCTCTACCCGTTGAGCTAATGGAAAAATCCTCTAGCTGTTAGGAGGTAGTAGTTTGTTGTAGGCATTCAAACCAGACAATAAAGTGAGATGTGATCACACACATTAAGCCAGCGTGTTATACTAAAATGCCCATCAGGATGCCAGCTGTCCACTGTAGTAACCAGTGGTACCCATGTGGTCTTTGGCTTTATAAATTCCTTTTTATCCCCACCATGGGTCCAATAAATGCCACTGTTCTTGCTGTTTTCACCTGGTTCAAGGCAATAGTTGGTTCAGACATAGGCAGCTCTCACCCCACCAGCCAAGGAAGAACGGGAAGCTATAGGAGAACACTGTTCCTCCAACCTAAGGAGAGCAGGGGGCTCCTGCAGGCTGCAGCGGATGCATGCAGGCACCAGCCGCTATGCGCGACCGGGCTCCCTCCTCGCCTAGGATTACCATATTTCAACAATCAAAAAAGAGGATGGGGGGGAGAGCCCCACCCTAGTCCCACCCCCATCCACTCCCTCCCACTTCCCACCCCCTGATTGCCCCCCTCAGAATCCCCAACCCCGCCCCCTGCTCCTTGTCCCTTGACTGCCCCCTCCTGGGACCCCTGCCCCTAACTGCCCCCCAGAGCCCCATCCCCTACCTAAACCTCTCTGTTCCTGTTCCCTGACTGCCCCCTCCTGAGACCCCCCCCCCCTAACTGCCACCCTAGGACCCTACCCCCCTATCTGTCCCCTGACTGCCCCAACCCTTATCCACACCCCCACCCCCAGACAGACCCCTGGGACTCCCACGCCCCATCCAACCACTCCCCGCCCCCTGACAGGACCCCCAGAACTCCCAACCCATCTAACCCCCCCCTGCTTCCTGTCCCCTGACTGCTCTGATCCCTCTCCACACCCCCGCCCCCTGACAGGCCCCACCCCCAGAACTCCCGACCCATCCAAACCTCCCCCTGCTCCCTGACTGCCCACCAGCTGGGACTCCCCTTACCACGCCCATGCCGGTCAGACGCTGGCTACACGTGGAGGCAAAACACACTGTCGCGCGCACAGCCCCTACCCCGCAGAGAGCTGAGGCAGCGGGAGAGGCGGCGGGGGCTTACACGCCCGGGAGCTACAGAACCCGAGTGCTGCGAGGGGGGAGCCGGGGGGGTGCACGGGGGCCGCCACCCGCATGCATCTGCTGCAGCCTGCAATAGCCCCCGGGGGAGGGGGGGGCACCGGGCCGCAGCCTGGGCAGGAGGGGCAGGGGGCGTGGCTGCACCCCACTAGCAGCACTGCCGCTTTTGCAGGGCTGTTGCCCCCCCTGCGCCACGCTGGCTCCTCCATGGCTGGGGCTCGCCGCTCCCACAAGCCGACACTCTGGCTCTCCGGTGCCTCCGGAAGGCGGCTCCTCCCTGCCGAGCCAGGGCACCGCTTTTTGGCATCCTCAACCACTTGGTGCCCTAGGCGACCGTCTAGTTCGCCTAGTGGTTGCACTGGCCCTGGGTGTAGGCTGTGGCCCTTGCTGCTAGGCCAACACAGGGAAGTCACATTGGGGCCTTAGAGAGCTTCTGAGGCCACTGAATCTGCCCAGAAGTGCGGGACCCACCAATACAGGCTCAGAGCTTTGTCAGAACTCATGTTAGCAGTGGGATCTTGGACTTATCATTCACTGCACGGCGGAAGAAGGGGAGAGTTTAAAAAAAAAAACTGCACTGGGTTTGGGTGTCCTCACCACAGTGGAAGACGTAATAAAAGCACTGATGCAAGCCATTGCAGCCCAGCAGAAGGCCACCCGAGTCCATGCAATGGCGCAACAAGAATCCATGTGGCTACAACAAGAAACTAACCAATTATTGATAGGGCAGGCCTCCCAGGATCAAGCCCTCTTGGGGGAGATGGTGGACCAGCTGAAAGCCCTCACTGCCAAAAACCAAGGGTCTGAAGGGTCATGAGTATGGAGGGCTGCCGGTTGTCTACCGAAGATGACGGCAGATGACGACATAGAGGCGTATCTCTTCTCCTTTGAGAAGACCGCCTTGCGATAGGCATGGCTCCAGGACCAGTGGGCTAGCATCCTCGCTTCCTTCTTTTGTGGAGAAGCCCAGAAAGCTTATCATGACATGCCTGCTGAAGCTGCTGTTGACTACCCCCAGCTGAAGGGGGAGATCCTGGTGCGACCAGGGGTAATGACTGCAGTACAGGCCCAGAGTCCCATGAGTGGAGGTACCAAGAGGGAAGCCTCCAAGGTCCCAATTGTTCAACCTCATCCACCTTGCATGGAAGTGGTTACAACCTGAGGCATGCAACCTGGAGGAAATGTTGGAAACTTTGGGCATAGACCACTATATGAGGGGACTGCCGCCAGATCTTTGTGCATGGGTGGGCCAGAAGAACCCCTCCACCTAGGACAGTATGATCACATTGGTGGAGAGACAGATAGCGGCTCGAAAGCTGTCCCAACTACCCAGAGAAGCGCCCCCCCCAAAAAAACAAGTACCCAGCCCCAACCCCGGAAGGTCAGACAACCAAGCATCCAGGGAGCCCCAGGTGGAAGAGGGTAGGGGCCACAGAGCAGCCAGGAACCCGCAGGGGGAGAAATAGCCTGAGTGGGGAGAACTATGAGGCAAAGACCCCTAACCCAAGAGACAGAGGAGCTCCTAGAGCCCCTAATAGGTGTTACATGTGTGGGGAATTGGGACACCTAGTGGCGCAATGTCCCAATATTGAGGAGCCCATCCAGTGTAACCTGGGGGACTGGGCAGACTCATGCACCCTAATCAACCTTGTGGGGGTCACAGTCACCCCACATCAATATACAAAGCCGGTGAAAGTGAATGGGGTAGAGACCATGGCGCTCGTGGACTCTGGGAGTGCTGTCACCCTGATTTCGGAGAAACTAGTGAAACGCAGCCAGTTAATAGAGGCTACGCGTACATGAGTAACATGTACATGGGACCTATTAGTTATCATCCTGTCATCCCGGTGAGGATTGAAATCCAGGGAAACATCACCGGGGTAAAAGGAGGAGTGGTTCCTAAACTCCCATACCCTGTGCTCATTGGAAGGGATTTCCCAGGCTTTGGAAATTTGCTCCTGCCAGAGGGGCGAGAGAGAGTAGAGGACCCTGAACTTAAGGAATCATCCCTAACAGAAAGTCACCCCCCCTTCTTCATTGAAATATCCCAAGATTTGTTCCCTGTCCTCAAGACAGGCAGAAAAACCAAGAGGGAAAGGAAGGTGGCAAAGGTTTTGGGCAACCAGATCCTGCTTCAGGGTCAGAATGTTGCCCTGGTAGGCCGACGGGCACGGGAAACTGAGGGAGAGTCCCCCAAAGGGGAGGAGAAAGCAGAAGCTGGTCCCAACCCCAATACCACTGAACTTACCGAGGGGGTAGAGGCCAGCCCCTCGGAGTTTGGGTTGATAGGTCCCGGAAGAGAGACTTTCGGGAGAGACCAGGCAGAAGACCCTGTTAGGGGGCTTATTCCTTCACCCGCTTTAATTCCCTTGCCCTTCTCGCATGAACAGAGAGCAACAATACCCGAAGTCCAAAGGTGTAAACAATTCAATGTTTATTGGGGTGAACTTCCAGCAAGAATGATTCCGGTTTCCTTCCTTAGTGTCCCCCTTCCCAGCTCTGACACCACAGAGCCTTACACCTGTGTCCCTGTTCCCATTCCCCTTTTAGCAAAACATGATTCCAATTTCCCCACCCCCATTCCCTGTTCCCATTCCCCCCCACCCCCACACACAATTCCTGATTGACTGCAGACTATATAGTAAAACTTGAGTTCTGCTTAGCTATACCTTAACCAATCATTTTCCTGAAATTTAACTAACCAATCCTAACATATTGTAACATGATTATTTAACCAATTATATCCCACCACCTTAATTAGTTTACATCCAGCAAAATTAATTATACAGCAGACAGAAACAATCACAGAACCAGACAGAGATTATACAGACAAACAATAAGAAAATGGGGAGTACAGTGATAGAACAACACAGAAATGAGGATTTCACATCCCAGCTATTGATAAGTGAGTTTTTGTCAGACAGGATGCTATCAAACTAAGTTTTCTTTTACATTTTCTAGGCACTTCCCTTTCTCTGGAGGTGATAGGCATTATCAGGACAGGATTGTATTCCTAACAGCCCAATAGCACCTTATTTCAATGTGACTAGTTTGGAATGTAAGGATGTGACTGTTCGCTTTCCAACTTATGGCTGCCTCTGCTGCTTAGCCAAAGATCTTAGCCTAAGAACAGGGCCTTAGACTGTCACAGTAAGAGAAGGCCTTTACACCGGCAGACAGTGATTTTGATTCTTTCTTTCTTTTATACCTCTATAACTAGCTAAATGATAAGAATACACCTAAATTCTTAGAGTATAGGCCTTTACAGACAGGCCTGAATATCTATATCCTAACAGACCCCAGATATGATGTCAGAAAAGAGGTGGCTGAGATAGATGGGATGCCTGTGGAGGGAAAGGCCCGAGGGCCAGTGCCCTATTTCAAGATTAAGAAGGGCCTCCTGTACTGGGTGGTACAAATGCAGGAACAAGGGTAAACCAGCTCCGGGTACCCAAAAACATCAGAGGGCAATATTAAGTCTCGCCCATAGTCACCTCTTTGGGGGACACCTGGGGGTTGAGAAGACCCAAGCACGGATCTTGCACAGATTCTTCTGGCTGGGGGTACATGAGGATGTCTGGTGGTACTGCAGCTCCTGCTCTGAGTGTCAATTGCACAGCCTTCGCCCACATCTAAGGGCCCCTTTGGTATCTCTACCAATCATCGAGATCTTTTTAGAGCGAGTAGCCATGGACATGGTGGGGCCTCTAGAAAAGACAACTCCAGGTCACCAATATATGCTTGTCGTCTTGGACTATGAAACCAGGTATCCAGAGGCCATTCCCCTAAGAAACACAGCCTCCAAGTCCATAGCAAAGGCACTGGTGGAAATTTTTGCCTGGGTAGGGCTACCAAAAGAGATTCTAACGGACCAAGGAATGCCATTCATGTCTAAGTTAATGAAGGACCTCTGCTCCATGTCCAGACTCTGCGAACCTCGGTTTACCACCCACAGACCAATGGCCTGGTAGAGAGAGTTCAACTGGACCCTCAAGGCCATGATAATAAAGGTGGTAAGTCGGGATGGAAAGGACTGGGATACTCTGTTGCCCTACCTTATGTTCGTCATCCATGAAGTTCCCCAAGCTTCCACTGGATTCTCTCTCTTTGAGCTATTATATGGTTGCCACCCCTGGGGCATACTAGATATAGCTAGGGAGATTTGGGAAGAGGAGTCCAATACAGGGAAAAATATAGTTGAGCATGTGTTACAAATGAGAGATGCTACAGCCCGGGTCACCCCCATAGTGTGGGAGCACCTGGAAAAAGCCCAACAAAGTCACTACAACCGCCAAGCAAAAGTTTGGTAGTTCCAACCCGGAGACTGAGTAATGGATGGTGTTAGTACCCACAGTGGAGAGTAAACTCTTTGCCGTCGAATAGGTGGCCTGGCAAGCCTTCATCCGCACCAGGTCACCTGGGTCCTGGATCATGAGGAGTACGTTGTCAGCATACGCTGACAGTGCCAACCCCATCAACCTCCGGCGGAGGAGACAGAGGAAGGGCTCGATCGCCAGAGCATACAGCTGGCCTGACAGCGGACACCCCTGACACACCCCGTGCCCGAAGCTGACCGGTTTGGTCAGGGTCCGTTGAGTCTGACCAGACACTCTGCGGAGGCGTACAGCACCTGGAGGAAACCCACGAACTGGGGCCCGAGCCAAATGCTAGCAGAGTGCCCAGGAGATACCTGTGGTCCACCCTGTCGAATGCCTTCTCCGGATCCAGGGACAGAAGGGTGAACGACAGACCATCCCTACACCCGAGCTCCAAGAGATCCCGGACCAAGTACAGATTATCAAAGATGTACCGGCTGGGACAGTGTAGGTCTGGTCAGGGTGGACCACATCCGCCAGCACGGACCCCAGCCAGAGCGAGATGGCCTTCGCTATGACCCTTGTAGTCCGTGCTGAGGAGCGAGACGGGACGCCAATTCCCAAAGTCGCAGGGGTCCCCCTTCTTCGGAAGCAAAGCGAGCACAGCTTGCCTGCATGCCAGGAGGAGGATCCCACTCTCCAGGGACTCAGCCCAGATGATGACAAGGTTCGGGACTAGGACGTCCCAGAACACATGGTAGAACTCCATGGTCAGCCCGTCCAGGCTCAGGGATTTGTTTGTGGGCATGTGGCGGAGGGCTTCTGAGAACTTGGCCAGAGTGAGAGGCAGCTCTAGCAGGTCCTGGTCACCCACACTGACCGTCGGGAGTCCATCCCAGAGCACTCTACAAGCATCAGGATTGGTCGGATCCGGGGAGAAAAGGCTTGCGTAGAAGGCCCTGGCCCTCCCACGCATCTCCTCCGGATTTGTGATGGGGGTGCCATGCTCTGCCAGAAGACACATGAAGTGCTATCTAGCCCCCTTCTTTTTCTCCAGGGCATAGAAGAAGCGGGAGCTGCGATCCATCTCGCAAAGGTGGTGGATGCAGGATCGAACGAAGGCACCCCAGGCTCAATGGTCCTTGAGGGCCTGGAGCTCCTCCTGCTTCTCCCGGCATGCTCCACAGAGGGATGGATCCTCGGGGCTGGCGGCCAGATGCCTCACCAGCTCTAAGACCTCCCGTTCCAACTGCTCTATCGCCGCATCCCTCCGCCAGCTGGCAGGCCGGGTGTAGTCATAGCAGAAGAGCTGGGCATGCAGTTTGAGCAGCAGGAACTGCGGGGGATGGGGTGGTGTCCAGCAACCAGGTAGCAGAGAAGGGGGGTGTCTGGTTCAGACAAGGGGCATGTAGCTGGAGTAGCAGCAGCAAGAGCCACAGCCTATCAGCAGCCCCCTGCCTCCCTCCAGGCCCTAGTGGAAGGCAGGGAGCTCAGACGCAGGAGGAACAGGTCCCTGTTCCCTGGGTAGCCAAACAAAGGCTACCCCAGGCAAATCAAGACACCTGACGCCATTTAACCTATCTAAGGATCAGTTAAGGCCATGAGGCTAATGCAGGCATCTGATTACAGTTAACCAGCAAAGGATCAATTAAGGCCGTTAGGCTAATATAGACAGCTGGAACCAATCAAGGTCCCATTTATACTGCTTAAAAGCTCTCTTTCCACTGAGTTCCAGAGGAAGGAGATTAGAGGAGAGGAAGTGATTGCTAAAGCCTGAGGAAGGGTGAAGGTAGAGAAAGAATTGAAGGGAGAGGAAGTGTTGGGAAGGCCCGAGGTAAGGGAGAAGGTAGAAAAGGTGGCTGCGGGAAAGTGGCCCAGGGAGTCGAAGCAGTTCCGCTGGTGAAGGGAAAGCTACCAACAGCTGCTACCATTAGGGTCCCTGGGCCAGAACCCAGAGTAGAGGGTGGGCCTGGGTTCCCACCCACTCTACAGAGATCTCCTTGAGAGGGGAAGCAGACCTCAATCCAGGCAGGGGCTGAACAACACCTTCTAAGCCCAAAGGAGCAACAGAGACTGTGAGGTATCCCCCTTCCCACCTCCCATACTGACCTGTGATGAAAGTAGCTCTGTGTAGGTTGTGGCCTTTGCTGCTAGGCTAAGGCAGGGAGGTCACATTGGGGCCTTAGCAAGCTTCTGAGGCCACTGAATCTGCCCGGAAGCATGGGACCCACCAATACAGGCTTGGAGCTTTGTTACAAATTATTAATTATTCTATTGCATCACTGTTAAAGTAAACAACTCCTACTCAATTTACAGTAAATAGATTTCTCAGCTCAAATCATCTTCCTTTTTGTAGTATCATTAGAACAAACAAAAAAATCAAAGAAAACAACTAGAGGTAAGCTGCTTCAATAGGTTAAGAAATACTAGATAGGCTCATGGATAGATCTGTGAATGAAGGTTTCATGGACGGTGAGAACACTACATGATCATAGGACAGTGTAGTGAATCAAAATTTGCCAAATAATGGAAATTTGATAAAATGGAATTTTTTAAATCTTCAGAAACTATTTTTCATAAACAATCCAACCAACATAACAGATCTTTTTGATAAAGAAAAGTATATGCAGAGTGGTCCTATTCTAAAATGTAGCTGTGTAAAACTGGCGCTTTCTTACTCAACAGGGTCCTAATCCAAAGCCCATTGAAATCTGTGGAAAGGCTTTTCCTCACTCCTGTGGGCTTAGGATCAGGCCCTAGATCAACTTTTTAGGTGTATTCTGAGCCGTAAGTGCTTATTCTGTGATAAAAGTAAGTTTTACTGATTTTTTAATTTTTTTTTTGTCCTGTTAGCTGTGCGGAGCAACACAACTGAGCGAGTGAGCTGGATTCTATTTCTTCTTGTGCATTAACAACAAAATTATTTACTAATTTCCAGT